GGTTACTCGACTCTTCATACGTTCCGTTTGCAATCGGTCCCGACATTCTTTAACGATCGCGCTTGCTCGTTCCAGGCACTCCTTCCAAAGTTGAAGTGCTTCATGCTTGCGCATCGCGTTCTCCAGCAACTGCCCCCTCCGAAGCTGAGACAGGAGCAAAGTGCGCTCTTCTGCATGTATGAGCACGTCATTCTGGTCGATCATAACCTCGAGCACCTCATTCACCGACCGTAGGGGACCGTTGTATCCAATGCCCAAAGTCCGGCGACCGGTGCCTGCAGGATGAAGGCAGGTTTGACGGAGCCTGACTAACCAACTTCGCATCTTCTCCACTACTGACGGATCATTAGGGTTCCAATCATCAGTGGTCGGGGCGCCTGATAAATCAAGGCCACAATCTTCGCACATCTGCTCGTACAGCTGGCTATAATGTTGCTCTTCCACTGCAGTGAAAGGGACAGTTATAACAACCCTCTTCTGTGGTGGCAAACGAAGCTCATCGCGAACATGATCTTTGCTATGGCGAAGGGCAATTGTGTGAACGATGTGTGCTAAGATAGATCGGAAAGACACACATAGCCTATTCCAGATGAAGCCACAATAGGGTTCGTAATGAAGAAAGAGCAGCAGACCTAGAAGATCTGCAATATCCTTACGAAGAGGTGTTCCAGTTACTGCCCAAGCCAGTTGACGTGGAATCAGACGAGCAACCCTCGCTGCATTACTGACCCCGCTCTCAATCATCTGGGCTTCATCTAGGCAGACCCGCCACCAGGATATCTGAACGAGCGGTGTTTTTCTTGCCTCAAAACGCTTCTCATGTCGCAGGTTTCGCTTTGGAGCATCACCAGAATAGTGGACCTCCCGAGCAAGAACGTTGTACGTAGTCAGCACAACATCGTGATCCGAGATCAGCTCGACCAGTTCATTATCTGCCAGTTTCTGATGACGTTGAATCCCTTCATAGTGATATACACTCAGCCCTGGAGCATGCAATTCAATCTCTTGCCGCCACTGCTCAAGAATTGCCGGGGGCGTTATAATCAAAGTCGCTCGTGACCGCTTCAGGCCGTCAACGCGGCTATGCTGACCTGCGTCTTCCGGGAACGTGAAGCGTCGATGTAGGCAAATCAAGGTGATCATTTCGACGGTCTTACCCAAGCCCATCTCCTCGGCCAGTACGCCGCCGTTGAGGACGTTCTCGGCATCATACCAGCTTGTGATACTGGAAGTAACAACCATGAATAACTGACTGGCGAAGCATTCTTTACCATCCGCATCAGTGAACCTAGTAAAAGATACTGGCAGGTCACTGGTAGAGTCCCGCTTGAAAGGAGCAATTCTCCCATCTGGTCGAAGTTCCACACCTTCCCTTTGCAACAGCCACCTGACCGCTCTTCTTTGGAAGGGGAAAAGCTGACACTCCAATAAGTCACACTTTATATCTGCCGATGAAGCAGGATTGTCTGGTGGAACATGTACATTGTCATAGAAGTCACGTGGTGACCAACCTGTTGCACTCATATCTCTACGGTGCTTTTGTCGCGGATGTTCGAATATTGTGTCATCACCATCTCGCAAGATGTACCTCGAGAAGACATTTGCTGGACCAGCCAGCATCTTATTGATGTCTGGGACATCAAGGGAGTCTCTCCATATGATGGCCGTTTCCAGGCTGAACGTCTTCCTATCAGGCAAACAGCGAAGAGTGGATTGATAACAAACTGAAGGCACGTTCTTTTGGAAGTGATCGGCACAAGCAAGGCTTGAGGCGAGAGTTAAATGATTACCCAACCTGATGAGCTCAGGATCAGAGCTCTCAATAGTGAAAAATATTTCACGTCCCAAAACCGACACTAGTGCCAGGCTGAGACGGCTCTGCAGCACTTCACTTTGAACAGTAGCAGACTGGGTCTGAGCAACCCTATTTACATCAAGGATGACAGGTACAGTATCCAGCGGCTCGGTAGAACCGTCCTGTTCATTTCGATCATGAGTTGCAGAATCAAAGTTCTATCAAGCATTAGCGGACTTGGTCTAGGAGTCCCGGGATAGGCCGGCTCCTGTCACTCATGGAGAATACATACTAAGCGCAGATCGAAACGCGCCAGTGGTATATAACCTACTGGTATTAGCGAGTCCGACAGACCATTGAGCTCCCTGAGACTTCGAGTTGCCGAAGCCAGCTTGCGACGTTTACTCGGATGATCATGGGCCACTGGCTGCTGGGGCCTGATGAAGGCAGTGGCCAATGATTCTGGAACATTGCCTGAAGCATGAAGATTAGTAGGGAATTCGAAAAATGCCACCTTGAAAGAGGTTAAGGATTCGTACCAGGATAAGTCAGTTCTGCATTCAGTACAGTCATGCCGCCCCCCTCTTGTCTCTGACGCCTCAGATTGCCACCAGATGACTGTTGGGTCGAGTAATACTCTCCCACTGTTGCTCTCCGATACGGAGATCTGATAAGGAGATCTCACGTGCTGATAGGGATGGGTTATGTTAAGTCCGGAATTTTTCCGTCCCAATCATCAGCTTAGTCAGTCAACAAATGCTCCGTCATGGCCGGATCTGTGCTTCCAACAGCTTAGTACAACTAGATAGGCTAGTTACCACAGAGGCCATGGAAACATGATTTGCAGGGACGTAGAATCTGGAATACCCGCTCATATATTTCGAATTTCATCTACTCTGATCACATCTAAGTCTCATACATATTTGCACGATGATCTCGAGCACCGCATGCCTCCTAGCTGTCAGTGTCCAATCATTGCCCCTGTTGCTGGGATTACAGGGTTTCGCAAGTTGTTCACTTATTATAAGATCACGTGTGCCATATTTCTGTTTCTCTTGATGCTCTACAATCCTTCCAGGACTGGTGTCAGGCCTTTTCCATACTATGAAATCTTTTATTCTATCTGATCACCGCTTCACAGAATACTCCTTTCGTCCTCTAGGCCTATCTAGACCATCAAAACTTCCCAAATCCTGTTCCAAGATCAGTGTTCCCAACTTTATTCCGCATGCGGCATCATTAGCTGGAATGTGTGGCAGGAGGCTTCTCGCGGACCTACACTGTCACTTCCTATTCTTGTATTGCTGGACATAGTGATCTTCCTTTTAGATACAGAGCCTACCGTTTTCGTGACCAAGTAAGTGCCATGAGCTGAATGAACGAGATGACGGGAATAATTGACAAAGTTATAGGCACAGTAGCAATATGCAAGACGTTTTTTCGCTTTCCTATTTATAGAGAACGCCAAATCCTGTTGGCTAGTAGGTGGTATTTAGCTGATATGACCGTTCCGGACCCTGAATGCGATTATGGCCCTCATGTCTTCCACATCACCCTCTAGAGCTGGAAGAGCTCCCTCAACTGCCTCATGGTGTCATCAGGGTCCTCAACGGAGTGACCGATCGTCCTAGGGTCACTGTAGATCTCGTAGTCATTACCACCGGGGAATGTCTTGTCACCGAAGAAGTGGATCGTCTTGTAATCGATACCCGTGATATCTTTCTCGGCTTCGACGTGTTGTAGGCAGTAAGTCTTGTCCCAGCCGGTCGGGAAAACGTCAAAAGAAATTTCACCACCAATAGAGTAGCTGTTCAGGAATGTTAATGGCTGTAATGACCCTGCGCAGTTACCAGAGGCCTGGAAATTCTTTTACATACCTTAGACCATAGTCAGGGAACTCCTTCTTGAGCGCATCTACAAGGTCTCGGCGGATGTTGTGAATCTTATCATACCTGCTCATGATATCAGTCAAAAGGTCCTATCCTGTGAGCATCGAGCTACTGCTCGTATACATACGCTTCAAATTCCTTCCGCTCCTCGGTGCTGGCATTCCTGCCAATCGGGCTGACGTTGATCATACCATTGCGGAATTCAACGAAAGTGCCGCGCTTCTTAGGAATCTCCAAGTTGGCGATGTACTTGAGCAAGAAGTTGACCAACTTCTGGTATTTCTCCTCTCCCAGCCATTGGATGAAGCTGTTGCTGCGAAGAGGTTTGCCCAGGCGGAAAGCGGTCAATCCGTTCTCAGCGAAGCAGAAATCGAATAGGGTTGTGACGTCCGTAGTGTTTCTACCGAGCTGTTCTTGCTGCTTGGGAAGATTCGAGCCACCGACCTGACCATGTGAGACTGGGCGCTGACCCTAAGAAGGATGAAGACAACTAACGAATCCGATCGCGCACTTGTGACGCAGCTGAGAGAGAAGCGTGAGCATCTCCGGGGTAACATTCTAAAGTCGGAGTAAAGAAGTGGTTAGACTTTTAGAGCATTGAGCGGATAAACAGAGCAATTCCAGGTAATAAGGGTTTCATTCTTGCGTACTTACAGCTCTGGCAGGCGTTAGCGTCTTGTCGACATCGAAGAGACAGATTGTGCCCTTGAGGGGGCGGTCCTGCAGGGCAGGATAAACGCCGGCTGCTTCGGTGGCCATAATGAATATAGATATGGAAGAAGGTTGAGGAGCAAGGTAAGTGAGAGAGACTCTGAAGCCAAAGGCGCAATTGATCTGAGGGGCAATTGGACTATGTATCTTTTCAGGGGCGGACGTTGTGACAGCCGCATGCGGTGAGCTGGAGGGACAAGCGGGGGTTCCAGACAAACATTCTTACGGCTTAACCGTATCGGGCGGCTTCCAGACGGATAGGCAGTGAGGCATCAAGGCCAGGCCCAAGGCGGTCAATCTCCAAATTTTCTCCATACGGATGATCCACGTGGGGCTTGCTTCGCTTATCGATAAGTGTGATAAGCTATGCAGTGATTGCTAAGAACATCGCAGGGGAAGGTGTACTAAATGGTACTTTTATTGCCATTGCCATTGTGCCTATTCCTCTTTCATCTGTAGTCAATTGTATCTCTGATCCCAAGGGTACAAAATATCCAGAGTGTATACATATCCCATTAAGACTAGCTACAGACCAATAAACCTCTATTATATGAGGCAGACAACAACGCCAGACTAACTCGAACTCCATATCATCGAATGAAAGTTCAGCGGCCCATAGTCGTCTGAAAAACCTTGGCTGCTAATTCACTCAAAAGCCGTGCACGATCGGTCTGAGGAAGCTGGAGGAAAACATCGTAAACACTCTTTCCTTTGGCATCTCGCACTGCACCAAGACGATTGCCAGCAACTGCGCCAGCCAATGCTCCTGGAGCATTGGCTACGATAAAACCGAGAGCACCACCACTAATCCCACCTATAACGGACCAGAACCGAGACGTCGGGTGTGAACGAGTCTGACCGTCAGCATCTGTGCCTTCGCTGGCTAGGCCCTCTTCACGCAGCATTTCTTCAAACACCGACCCGAATTGCTCGGATGCGCGTTGCTCACTATCGGCCGTGCCAAAGCCAAAAGCAGACCAGGGGAATCCTCCTGCACCTCCACGGGGTACTTCCTCCTCTTCCTCCTCGACACCGCCTGCCATCCTCATCGCATCATACTCCCGTCGGCGTGATACATCTGACAACGTGTAATAAGCATCGCTAATCTCCTGGAACTTGCGTGTCCGAGCCGCCCTCTCTGGTGAATCGACAGGAACTCTGTCTGGATGAGACTTCAGGGATTCCCTGCACGGTTCAGAACTGAGCATAGTTGGACCTTGATGAATACTGACTCACCTTTTGTATGCATTGCGAATTTCTTGTTGTGTTGCTTTGGGAGACACTCCCAGTATCTTGTCTATATTCCGCCTTCATTAGTTACAGCACTTTCTATACAGTATCTAGACGTTAGCATCCCGTACAATAATCGCGTTGTTCTGATCCACAGTCAGTTCATCCGTTAGAACCATAAAGCACGTTTGTGTGCACTTACTAGGCATGTTTAAGGGCCTCTATGATAACAGACGTGTTGTGCTTCAGAGTCAGATGGTTAAGGGCCAGATAAGTGTAGCTTTTTTCGTGTCCACTCTTCCTGAGAGGTCATGACTCGGCGGGGGAGATGACGTCGACGAGGGATTCCTGCCTGAGGCAATAGGAAGCACGGGACGAAGGTTCGACCTTTTCCTGCAGCTCGGTTCTGACTAAACAACAGAGACGGGAAGCCCCTGAGCGCAGCACCAATCATGGGGATGGCACCAAAGTTAGGATGCCCGGAACCACCGTCACCAGCCACTCGTAGAGAGCGTTGTACGTACGCTGCAGATGCTAGCCACTGCTAGGAACACACTAGAGAGGAGGCACAGTTCAGTGGTTAGTGATGGTTTTCAGCTTTGCCTCCTGCGCAGACGGGGAGTCTCACCTAATCCCCTCCCCCTTCATTTCGTTTTAACTTCCCTCACACGGCTCGCCGTGCTACTTCAACTCTCTCAATTGCACGCTCTTAGGCTCGGTTTTGTCTCTGATAGATACGATTTACTGTCAAATTCAATTGACGACAGTAGAAAGCACTCCAGCTTGTGACACGTCCAATTTCCGTACCGCAGTTCAGCTGTGGAGCTGGCCAAAACGGCTGAACCTCAAATTGTGTGCATTTGCAGCACGCTACGACTCCGCAATAGCGCGATTGCTTTTTACAGGCTTCACCAGCACACAATACATCCAGAGAGATCATACTTTCGTGCCTCCAGCCGTCTTTCTCATTAACGCTATTCAACTGATTCTCTTGGGAAAGTACTGTGTCAGCATTGGCCGAGATTCCAAACCTGACTTTGCCAATAAGTCGTTCAAGGTACCCATAATCAGGAACACCGATTCAAGATGGGCTGGTTTGATGGAAAGTCTTCATCCTCGTCTTCCCACCGCTCTCATTCCCGCCGACCCTCTTCCCCCTCACGACGGTCCACTTATTCAACCCATCATCCTCGTCACTCCGCCCCGTCGATTTTCAGTCTGAATGGCGGTGGTAGTCGCGTCGGACGAACCAGCCCGTCCGTGCTCTCTTCGTCCTCATCGCGGCGCGCACGGCCCCGATCAGGCTTCGTGCAGCGGGTGGTCCGCTACATCAAACGCTTGCTCCGTGACATCTACGACTATGCACGTCGGAACCCGGTGAAGGTTCTCATGCTAGTTGTCATACCGCTCCTTACCAGCGGTGTGCTGCAGAAGTTGCTCGCCATGATTGGCATCCGACTACCAAAGGGGCTTTTTGGCGGGAATTCATCGAAACCCAGCGGCAACAGCATGTCAGACAACATCAAGGGGCTCATGAACATTGCGAAAATGCTGATGTAGCTGTTGGGGCATTCCGTCTTTGACCTCTGAATTCCAGCGCCTCTGCACTTCCATGCATGGATGGCAATATCAGCGGGAATTGGGCAGAAAAGATAGATACGATACGACCATGATACGATGATGACGATACGACACAAACTTGACCTGATGCTTCTAGGTTATGATGTCCGTTGGCGGTTGCAGGTATTTCCGAAGGGTTATGTTCCTGCTACGTTTTGATATTTACCGTTTACGGTGTTATGCAAATGTTCAAGTATTTAGACACAATTTCAATGAGACGTCCCCACGGCCTTCTGGCCTTCAAAGATACTTTTGGACACCAAACTCTATTTGTACACTTGCATTGGCAAGGATGTTCGTAAACCTTTGGAGCAGGCATTGAACCACAGGGAATACCGCATATAACGTAAGCGGGTTTCTCTGTCTATGTCGGATTTCTCACGATCTCTGAGACCGCTTTCCCCGCCTCCTTGCCTTGGAAGACCTTGCAGAGCTGGCGGCGCCTTCAGTCGACTCCTCCACGATTTCGGAAGGTTCCTCCTCCGACTCAGCACCGCTATTCACGGCATTGGAAGAACCGAGCAACCTGCCAACCGTCTTAGAGTAAACCCAGCCCGGCAAGCGGAAGACCAGCGTGTCACGGATTGTCGGACGCTGAATCTCATCAACGTCGAGCAAGAATTCCTGACGTTCGCCATCTTCCGTTTCCTCCTCCAGGAACACATTTCCAAGAGAGTCGACAATCAGTACCTTCCCATTCTCGGCAATCACTTTTTTCCTCTCCCCGCTGGGCTCCATTTGAGGCTCAGAAGTAGGCGTAGCCGTTCCCGAGTTCCGGGATGCCGCCCGGCCGCCTTTCTTGCCCTCCTTGCGGTTCTCCCTGTCCATCATGCGCTTTTGACGACGGTTCATAGGCATAGCACTCTGTTCGGGCTCCGGTGCCGGTGCCGGAGTCGGGGCAGGAGCCGAGGCACCATCAAGACCGGGGATACCCCGGACACCAGACTCATCACCCCAGGCAGCTCTCCTCGCTTGACGGATGTAACGATCGACGAATTCCCGCTGACGCTTCCAGCCCAGCACCAAAGCAGCATAGTGCGCACCACCACCGAAGACCAAGAACAAGCCAATAAGCACGGATCCCAAACCGGGACGGAATCGCGAATAGTAGTAGCCGGTTCCCTTCCACTTGGGGAAACCGTTCTTCAGGAAATGGTCGTAGCGCTCGCGACCCGGGCCACGGAGGATATTGGCGACGGTGTTGAGGCGAGCGGAGCGCTCATGTGCCTCCTTCACAGCAGCGGCGATTTCCCGCTTCGAAGGACCCTGGTTGACATGGACACCGGACTTGGAGGACTTGGAGCGAGACTTGTCCTTGGAGCTGTTGGCGATGAAAGACCGCTTGACTTTATCGGGGTGCAGGAGTCGGGACTTCTGACGGTAGGCCTTGCTCAGTTCGTCTTGGTTGGCATTGGGTTTGGCGCCGAGGAAATCTGTCCGTTTGGAAGTTGATCAGTGGCGGAGGACTTTGGAGATGGATGGGGAGTTGTTTGTTCAGGGGAAACGTACCGTAGAATGTCACATTGGGACCTTCCGCAGCGGCGAGTTCGTCATTGAGACGAAAGATTTCATAATCTGGAGAGTCGTAGAGTTTTTAGTATGCGATATAAGAGAAGTTTGCGGGATAGCAGAAAGAAAAAGAGCAGCAACTGACCTTCTTTAGTCCAGGCCGCGGCCAGCACAATCAGGGCTACAAACACAAACAGACGAAGCGCGATAGACTTCATCGTCGAAGAAGGGAGCGGTCAAGCCGCTGGACCCAAAGCGAAAGGGAAGAGAAAGAATGGAACGAAGGGAGCAGTGGAGAACAATTGGTGCGCCAAACAAAAGACTACATGCAACTCATGTTCCTGATTTGATGGTGAGGTACTTTGTAACCTGTTCTTCTCCAAAAACGAGATAACTAGGTGGAATCCTCAGGCCACGATACCGCCAAAGCAATGATCTGTCATCAGGCAGGAATGGCGTTACGCTTACGTGACGAGAGAGCTAGGCCTAGAATGGGCAAATCCGGGTTCACCGCCCAGATCGGTATGGAACGCCTGAAACAGAATTACGGTACGGGTCCAGTGGAGTCTGCAGCTGCACGACGTGGTCCAATAAAGGATCCAAAGCCAGATGAGGAGAAATCAAGAAGAGGAGATAGGTAGATGGAAATGTGATTGATACCTAATGTTTGCAGAAGTGGCTATTCCAACTCAGAGGCTGGCTGGCAGAAGAGGGAGGGGGTGGTGGTGGTGGACAGCTGGGTTTAAATTCAAGACAAATCCCCTCTGGCAGTTGTAGTGGATAGTGAGTTACTGAGTGCTCATCTTCCTCGTTTACTATCTGGAACAGGGTATATCAGACATGGCATTGGAAGAGCAGTGGAAGATGATCGAGGGGATGTGATTGAGATGGCTACTTGAGTAGTCAGCCCTCAAGAGTGATCGTCTATTTCTCTTTCTATCTAGATCTCTGCTTCCGCATCCAGCTTCGGAGGGTGTGTCTCTCTCTTCTCTCCACCCATTGCTGCCCTGCTTTCTATTCTTAGCGGGCCTCATCCACCCTGTATCTTGATTGGATTCGACGGTCCATGAAACCGGAGCAGTGACTGGAGCAGTGACTCAAGTGTTGGATCCAAACGTGCCTTGTTTACTTGCCTGGCCCTCCATTCCTCCGATACCTTATAAGAAGGACCCGAATCCACTTGTCTTCGCAATTAACCTTCTTTTGTTGCTGGGCGGTACCTCTCAAGTCTTTTGCAAGGCGGATCGGTACCTGGAGGGTACTTACTTCAGTTACTTTGTCTGTGCTTCCCGCCTGGATCTCCCGGGGGGGAAACCACGAAAAATACCGAGACCAGTACTGGAATACGCCTAGACCAATTCGGTGCTCCAGGCTGCCAAAACGCCTCGTTGGTTTTGCTTTCGGGCCAGCTAAGCCGCTTCCAATCTTCCTCGACAAAAACATTCCCCGGTGTTTCTCTCACTCTCTCGGTCCTTCCCCCTTTTCTCTACTGCTTTTACTACTCTTCATCTCCATCAAACGACCGTCACCAGTCTTCTCATACCTATCACTTAATTTCACTCAATTACATTTCTCCTACCTTATCCTCCAAACCCAACCACCCCGAATCTTCAAAAAATGCCTCTCCAGATCCCCATTGATGCGATTACCTCGCGCTTCGGCGAACGGTTCAACAGCGTCCGCTCTCAATCCCTCGGCACGCGCTTTGCCAACCTGCGTCCTATCTCCGAATTCCTGGACATCAAGCGTGTCTCCAAACCCGCCCATTTCGGCGAGGTCCAGAGCCGTGTGAACTACAATTTGTCCTACTTCTCCAGCAACTATGCCGCCGTCTTTGTGATGCTCAGCATCTACAGCTTGCTGACCAACCCCCTGTTGCTCTTTGTCATCATCCTGGTCACTGGTGGTCTTTACGGCATCGGAAAGCTCCAAGGTCATGACCTGGAACTGGGCTTCGCCCGGTTTAACACCTCCCAACTGTACACCGGACTGCTAATTGTCGCGGTGCCTCTGGGATTCTGGGCCTCGCCCATCTCCACGGTGCTCTGGCTTATCGGAGCCACCGGCGTGACTGTCTTCGGCCACGCCGCTTTTATGGATAAACCAATCGAGAATGCTTTTTCCGAGGAGGCGGTCTAGGTGGTCGGCCGCGAACTCCTTACGGTACGCCCCGATGGGGAAGACCACCGGGGGCACGAGTGGGGAGACAAACCAGACGTGTAGCTCCGTGGGTGGACGGTGCGGCACGGATCGAGGAGATTGACAGCGAAGAGGAGGAGGATGCATACGCTCGATCAGCGTATGCAAGGCAGTCGGCGGGTCGGGACGAGGGTGGAGAGTCTAGGTTGCGCAGGCGGAGGATGGATTACGACGATTATGTGGATGAGACGAATTCGATCGATGGGATGGACTATGATCTGCGTGAGGACATGGACAGCACGGTGGCATATGCGGTTCAGCTAGCCATGAAGGATAAGGAGGAACGGTTGGTGGATCAAGCCTTGGAACGGATACGACGCGCTCAAAAGCAGGGCCAGAAGAACGTACGACTATCGGGTCGGGAAATGGAAGCGCTGGAGCGCAAGCGCATGCAGGCAAACCGGACCCCTGATCACGATTACCGGAATACAAGTCCCCAGGTTTCTCCCGGTGGCAGCCGATCCTCGAAGCCGCCGGACAGCCCCAGCAGCAAAAGGGGAGCGCAGCGGAGCGGGTCCAATGCCTCGACAGCGCACAAGCATAGCATGCCCTCACCATTAGCCGAAAACAACGCTGCTTATGCGTTCTGGGCCTGGACCTCGGGGGCCTCTGGCGGATCCCCAGCTTCTGCACGTTCGCCATCTGCCCGCACGCCTACAAGCCAAGCACCGCCTCGATCCCCACTTCAGCCAGCCTACGCCTTCGACCGTCTGGCTTCAGTCCCCCAGATTCGCACACCGGCGGGCGTGAAGAGTCCCTCTGTGCGTTCCCTCCCTGATGATCCACAGTGGGCGCCTCCGTACCCTCCGCCGTATACAAGAGAACCGCCTCCGTACCCGACCGATCGTCGGCGCCCCGAGCCAACTTCATACATGTCAGGCTACCGCAGCGTCTTTAACGATTCTGCTCGTAGCAACAGGCGAGGTGTGACTGCTATGCCGGGGGCTGCGACGGAGGAGCGTCTCAGTCCAGAGGAAGAAGAGGAGCAAGGAAATAGTTCCGATGACAGCGCCATGGTTGAGCGCCGCGTGGCTGGCGGTACGCCGACACGGGGACCAATCGGGCGAGGCAGTCGTCCCCGGAGCAGTCGACCTTGAACACACCCCCCCCGCGAATCGTGCCCTTTCAAACGTTGTTTTCTTTTCTATCATGGGTGGCTCATGTCACAGTTGGGTTGGCCTTGATTGTTTCTTGCGCGGTTTCCCATGGTTGATTTTCTTACGCCGATAAAACGTAACGGAGTTCGTCTAGAGCGGGTACCTGAAATGATGCTATTGATAGTGATGAATTGTTCTCCAGAACTCATATTAGTAATGTAACGCGTAGGGAGGTCCCAAGTAGATCGTGGTGGCAGTATGTATTCCTGCTGACGAGGGAGCGCGACGAACTCGTGATACAGTTCATGCAAGTCACCGTGGCTGGTGGCGGGTTCCCGAAACCTAAACGGACCATCAGATTTAGCCGGAGGTAAGAATTGCAACGACTGCATAGGACGATCCGGACCAAATCGTGTCTGCCTAGACTGAGCAAACAATGGAGGAAGAGTTACTTGAGAAAAAGAGTCAGCAAGCAATCAAGATAGGTGATCGAAGGAAGGAGGAATTGGGCACGAAATGCGAGGAACCGCGGGCCGATGACGTCGATGAGGTCATATGGTAAATTGGCTGTGCAAAGAATGCCAGCTTCTGCTTTGCTTCGACTCAGGATTTACTTTTGCAGAGCTTCCGACCCAGCCGGCGTCCATTGGATAGACTTTGGGATCTACTCTTCAGCAGTGATGACACTCTCCTGGTCGGTGGGCCCTTTTCGTCGTCACCATCTGGGGAGTTGCGTGTTAAATTAAAGACCGACTCGGCCTCTCCACCGACCCAGTCTTTGACTCTTCTTTTCTGTTAGTCACTCCTTTATTTATTAGTTACTCTCTTCCTCTCCTCTGCGGCCAACAACCCCCCCTCCTCTCCTCTTCCCCTCGCTGCCAATTCGTCTTCCTGTTGTTGGGCAAGGTGTCACCAACGCAGTCGATGCTATCTACCTCCTCTCCCTGTTGACCCTCGGATCCATTAATTGACGACAAGCCACTTCCGCCCCTTCCGGCGCCGCGTTCCACCCGATCGCCCATCGCTAGCACATCTTATACCTCGATAATCTTTTCACGGCAGCTCTTCTTCTTTTTCTTTTGGCAGCAACCGTTGCTACCGTGCGCTGATTGTTACCCTTGCTTGCTGGGACATTTGTCACTTTATTGGAAGAGGGGAGGGAATATAGAAATAAATTAGCGAAAATGTGGATTATATCATTTTGGATATTCCCGATTATCTCGGCGTGCACATGGATTGGTAGCGTCTCCTCCTATATAACTGCGAGTAAATATTTCCGACGGACACTGACAAGGTTGTTCTAGCCATGTTAATTGCGATGCTGGCCACCTGGGCCAGAGAAGGATCGCCGATATATGCCAGTATGGAGACGGGTCAGACCATTGCGTAGGTGTCACGCGACCTTAGATATGGCATGCGACTGCGATGCTGATTATACACCTTTTGTTCATTTCTAGGTATATTTCCGACGTTGGAGCACAGGGACTGAAGCCGCTCTTCATCGCGGGCAGCTGCGTCACCGTCGTTTTCCTTGATCTCTCTTTCCTGTCCGAACGCTGGTTGCGACATGCCGGTCAATTGGTCCCGAACAAGGGCAAGTTCGACAAGGCCTGCGCAATCGCATCCATTTGCTTCTCGATCGCCGGCGCCTTGGGACTGATCCTACTTTCGATCTTTGATACTCTTCGTCATCCGCACATGCATGATGGCTTTTTGATCATGTTCTTGTTAGTGTTTGATTGCGCATGCGAGAGAAAGACCATTCCGAGGCTGACGTACCTGTAGGGTCGGATACCTGATTAGCGCCATTCTCATTTGCTGCGAATACTGGCGTCTGGGGATCTTTTATCGCTCCCAGCATAAAGTGCTCCTGGCCAGTTTCATCATCAAACTCTCATTTGTTATCATTGAAATTGCGCTGGCCATTGCTTTTGGTGTCCTCGGCAACAAGGGTGGTCATTACCGGAACGCAGCGGCAGTTCTGGAATGGGGTGAGTGACCTGGGAATGACTCTCGGGAAATATAGTTAGATCGACTAACTGGAAACAGTGATTGCGCTCATCTTCACGTTCTATGTGCTCTCTTTCGTGATCGACCTGCTGCCCTCGGTGCGCACGCGCAAACATGTGCCGCAGGGCGAGAAGGTGTCCCGGAATGGACAGACGACAGCGGCCTATCCCGATGGCACATATGATTATGAGGAGCCGGTGACGACGGACTCGGCAGGGCCGAATGCTAATTACTACCGGGGGCAGCGGATATAATTAATGCCTTTCAAGCAGGCCCAGTGTGAGGTGTGGTTTGGCTATCTTGGAATGATTTTTTACGATATATACCCCGCGGATAGGAGTAGTCGGCTATAATGGAGCTGATTGATTGATATATAGTTGGTGTTGTTGATGTTGATGTCTTCTTGGGATTCTAGCTGGATTTGCGATCACTTTTGCACATATTGGTCTATGATCTTGAATGTATACTACAAGGCTAATATCGAAATAATGTATCATCACCGAGACTAATACTTACTACTACCGTATGAACTACTAAAGACGTTACGGTAAAGGAACAGATATGATTACATTATATCATCGAATAAGACATCATCTAGATCTAAAGAAATCAAATCTACCTATACATCCAACCCCATAAAAATAAAGATACCAGAAATGTACTGAAGGTAAGAAATAAATGAATCAAGCCAGCAACACCCTCCTAATATTTTCCAATTGCTCCCTCCCAACCCCAACAGTCCCCAAATACCCCTGCACCCCACCATACCTATCCTCCAAATGTGCCCGAATCGTCTCAACAAAGTGCCGCGGACACTTGGTATAATCCTCCGACAACCCCAATAACCTCACCTCCTTCATGCGCTCCTCCATCTCAATGGCCAGCTCGCCTTCGGAACGGAGATAATCCTCCCTCATCGCCTCCTCAGGCACCACATCTGCCACGAGCAGAAGCAAAAGGAGAACGATGAGACCCGTGCGGTCTTTGCCTTGCGTGCAGTGGATTAGGACTGGATAGGCACTATCCTCAAATCCATCGCTTTCTTTATCGTTGCCATCAGTGGTGGAGGAGGTGATGGAAGAGAATAAATCGAACAACGTCTTCATCTCCCCGTAACTACTATCCAAAGTATCGATGCCTAGTCCGACCAGTCCCCGCGGGGACATGACTTGCTGTCCGACTATTTGGACGGCGGTGGAGCGGTAGCCTGATGCTACCAGTGCTAGTACTTTACTGTTGTTTTATCAGATTTTTTTCTCCTTTCCTTTGAGCAATGAGATATGATGGGGGGAGGAGGGCATACAAGAAATTCCACCAATCCAGACGCCAGAGAAGCGTCCGCTCGAATGCTTTCCCTGTTAAGCTGACAGGGAACCGAGTGACAGTTGGGAGATCGGGGAGGTGGATGTCTGTTGGTGTGGCTGATGCCGTTGCTGTCGGTTCTGGTGGTGGTGGTGTTGATGTTTGTGTTTCTGGGGACTCTGATGTTGATGATGACTCTGTTGATGAAGCAGCAGCAGCAAGTTCAGCTAAGCGCTTATTGGTAGCTATTTGGTGTTCGGTACTATATTTTTTTTCCCTGTCAATATTGATGCTTACCAAAGAGGAGGGAGTTAAGCTGGGATAAATAGTACCTCGATCTCAGATCCACGACGGTTGAGATATGGAATTCGTCTACGAGACGGCGTTTGTCGCGCTCGGAGGCATCGTCTAACTTTATTAATCAATTGAGGTGATGTTAGTACATTTTCAATTCGTTCAGCATTCCTCAACTTTTTTATAATATAGGATATGCAGAAGTAGTGGTAGTAGGTATATATACCCTTGCACTTCGAAAGATAATACCCTCTTTCAGCACTCTACACCAAGCTATCAGTATACATCATATAACCAATACATTCAATAGAATAAAAAGATCTGCATACCTCTTCCCGATCAACTGGTTAATCGTACGCCCAACATCCCGGAAGTTGATAATGTTGTCGAATGGACGACCCGGGGAATCGAGATCTACGCTCGATTGGCGGGGATGCGACGAAGACATGATGATCTATTTCCGTGCCTCCAAACTTGAAGATAGTTGAGAGAAATGAAGTGGTGAATATACAGTATAATTGTAGTGTCCGGGATAATCTTTAAAGAGGACTTTGTAAAAGATTGATCACAGCAGGCAGGATAAGGCCGGATAAAAGTGGGACAGGAAATGACTGGGAGGGTCCGCTGTAATAAGTGCAGAAGCGAAAGACGAAAACGACAAACAATCGCAAACCGGGCAGCCAACCGACCTATCGAACGGGACTAAGCATGCAGGAGTCCAGCAGATATCTTGACGATATCGAATGGCCCGGCCAAGGCAGAAAAGGTGGAGGAAACGTGGATGCGCCGATGGGGAGCCGCGCGGCAAATGGCGGTGGAGCTTCAGCCATCAACAACACCATCTTATGGCCCAAGCTATCAGCTGCTCGCAGCTGTGCCGCCCATCGTTTGGCCAGTCAGCTTCTAATCTCACTACGATCTACAGATAGTTGATGTTTTCACCCGCTCTTGCATGCTCATCTCCCCGGTTACAGGCATTGCATTGACATTCGCACACTAAGTTATCAGAATTAAAATCATCCTCGGTTCCATGACTGTTTGCCCAATCTCTGGATCCGACTGAACACACAGCAAACAGCAATCGCACTCAACAAACACTCATCCCTACAAGAGTACATAGCAGTAGCACCGTAAAACCAGTCAGACAAGACATCAGTGGTATGTACCCAATCTCCTTCCTGGTAAAAGTACATAGAACGAACACAGAGATATCACTACGCAGTAAGATCAGACCACCCCTCTCCCTTCTTTCAAATAGAAGAACAGACAATAAAAATCCTCAACTCATATCAATCACAACTTCTCCGAGAACCTTGACTCCCGCCCCGTCCCGCTGCTCGCTCGCTTTCCCCGAACTGTTGGGACAGACAGGCCTTGTTCCGCCGCGCTTGCACGCCGTTCCTCCGTCTCCACCCCCGGAGTGGGGATGGCCTGCGAGCTTCGACGAGCAATATCATTGCTGCCAATCCCTTCGGCCTTGCCCTCCGACGAGCCCTTAGAAACGATCTTCTTGAACCCACTCACGAGACGACTACGCCTATCTCCAGCGGATTCCTGACCTGCCTGGCTGACAGCTTCCTTCTCATCCTGGCCTTCGCTGACCGACATCCTTTTTCCCATAACGCGAAGATCATTGGCCGTCACTGGATGGGATCGAAGCGCTGCCCCTCGCGAGTCGTCCTCGGCAGCTGCCTGTTCAGATTCTTCAGGGCCAACAGGCGCAGCCGGTAGCTCGGGAACTTCGGGTTCCTTCTCTTCTGGATGAGCTATATCCCAAGCTCGCCCGTCTTCGTCTTTCGATTTCTGTACTGGCTCGGCTCTTGGGATCTCTCGGGCTTCCTGTGTTTCCACCCTCTCAACTGCTTGGGGTTCCGGCTGTTGTTCCGTCTCTTCGACTGCCCGGGTCTCCGGCTGCTGCTCTGTGGCTTCGACTGCCCGGGTCTCTGGCTGCTGCTCTGTGGCTTCGACTGCCCGGGTCTCTGGCTGCTGTTCTGTCGCTTCACTCACTTGAGCCTCTGGCTGTTCTGCCGCTGGCCCTGTTTCCATTGAAGGGACCACTTCCAGAGTGTCCTTGCCTGACTTCGTAGCTTCGCCTGCTGCAGGTCCACTCGGACGACGACCCAGCCGTCCCTTGAACCATGATCTCAGCTTAGACTCGGATTTCGCAATGGTTTCGCCGGGGGCAGTCTCCGTAACAGCACCTGCAATTGCCCCCTGCGCGCCTCCAGCGGACGTTTGTTGCGGCGCAGTCTCAGCGCGTGCCTCATCTGCAGCTCCGTCGACAGCCCCAGTTAGCGTATAGGTTTCGTTGTCGGAGGTGCGCTTCGACTTGCGGCTCCACAACCGGGCTTTCTCCTCTTTGTACTTGGAGTCGGTTCTCAAAGAAGCTATTGCATTTATTAGGTCCCAAGCCCCACAACTTGAATCAGCAAGACAACTCACCTCTCATGCGTCTTTCTTCTGCCCTTGTGTCAGCATCTCGTTCGCGTTGGATGGCTTCCCGTCTCTCAGCCTCTTCCTGATCAAGACGCTGCTCTATCTCCCTGGCCCGTTTCGTTTCCGCACGGTCCGTGATTTCATCAAAGGTGGGTTGCAATCGGGAACGAGCGAGAGCCTCCACATCTGCCATGTCGACGTATTTTTGAGAGCTGATATTGACGCGGTCGGCGAACTGGTACTGCACGTCTGTCTCCTGTCTCTCCTTTGCGCGAAGTAAGGCGGTTTCCTCCAGTTCCTTCTGCATGGCGGCTGGGGCGCGTCCTGTCTCCGCATAAACACGCATTTCCATATCTTGGATGGTAGCATCGACGTTCCTCCTCGCAGCCTCCATCAGGAGCGCGCGGTCCTTTTCTCTGCGCTCATCCACCGCATCGAGCTTTGTACGCAGGCTATACATCTGGCTTCTGATCTCCTTCGACCGCTCTGCGTCAACCGAAGAAGCATCACTATCAATTGATAGCCTTCGTCTACGGACCTGCAAGCTAGAGCGCGTTGTTTGGGGCTCGATTCCGTAGTATTCGCGGTAGATGGCCGCCTCGTCCTGCATGCTGGCCAACTTCTCCGCCGCCCGCTTCTCCGCGGCATCTTGTAAGCTAAAAGCTTGTTGCAGAATCATCGGCTCTGCCCCCGTCGCTGTTCGCTGGGAGCGCATGCGACTGGGGTTGATGGGACCCTGGTCCTTGGCCTCGACGACCGCATACATGTCACGCGCCATAGAGACTGCTGCGGCCTGCAGGATGCTCTTCCGTTTGTAATCGTCGAGCTCTGGTGCGACGGGTGGGGAGGCAGTGTAAAGCCGCGCATTGGTGTTGGCAATGTGCTGGATCCTACTAGCTTCATTGGCATTGTCAAGGTCTCCAAGGACGTCGCTCGTGTCCATTCCCACGTGAGGCGCCTCTGACGGGGCGGAGTCAGCTCTCCTTCGGTTAGCATATAAAGCACCGGTTACCGCATAACGCGTCCTATCTCGGCCTGTTGTACCGGAACGTGATTCGATCGTCTGACCAGCTCCGGACGAGTCATACTTGAGGTCTGAAGGCCCAGTGGATGAGCTGACAATCGACCGACGGTCCCTGAGAACGAAGGCCGCAGCCTTGTAGCCTTCCAGGCTTGGCACCTCGGATGTGCGCTTGTCTTCCACGTGCTGTGTTGTAGCTGCACCTTTTGTCCCCCATCCTTTGGATTGGGCGTGAGCGAGAGCGGCTACTGCAGATGCATGACTGAACCCGGGGCGGGAGCCCGTCGCCTTCAAGGCTAGGGAACAGAAGGATAGTCAGTATTTGGGGGGAGGAAATGGACCTGTGGTAGGGAAAGTAAATACGAATGGAAGAAGTGGGATGCTTACTGGCCAGTTCAGTTTCAGCTGTCGAGGGCTCACGAACAGATAATTTACGCTCTGGATGAGTTACATAGAGAGCGGCTGTTGCAGCTGTGAATGGTGTTGCGTTAGCTATGGATTCGTCGCGTTCTGATACGATATACAAAGCAGAGTGGAAAATTGGGGTGCATGAGATCATCGACCATAGCAGCGTGGAGATATAATAAAGTAGGGTAGGGATGTGAAACAGGCTAACAGGGCACAGGGCCGATCAGGAGCCCAGGATGCAAGGACGCAGATCGCAACTTACCTTGATCCGCTAGGCGGGCAGACCGGGAGCGGCCGAGGGTAACGCGTTCGACGGGCGCGGGTTGTTCAAGGGTGGTTGCCATGATAAGATAACGACGATCGTCTACAGGGTTGAAGAAGGCGAGGCATTCCTGACGAAGAGGAAATGGGCGGAGAAGAA